GAGGTGCAGATTATGCGGCAAGGCTCCAGGGAGTGTGGCATATATCTTGTTAGGATGCAGTGCGCTGGCCCAGAGCAAATATCTCTCTAGACACGACGCAGCACTCAAGGTACTGTTTTACGAACTGTTGTATGATGAGGGATTTATAGATGAGATACCATCCCGGTACTCGCCCGCCAAGCCGAAGCCCATGTATGAGTCAGAGAATGTTAAAGCTTATTGGGATGTCCCTATATATGCAGATCAACAAGAGGTCAGATGCAATAGAGTGGATGCATGCATTGTAAATCATATGAGCAAGAGGGTTGTGATGCTGGAAATGAGCTGCCCATGGATTAACAATCGGACAAGAAAGGATGAAGAGAACACACTGAAGTACGCACCCCTTCGCTGGGAACTAAGGTAGCAGTTCCCACGCTATGAGGTGAAGCAATATAACATTATATGGATGCCCTCGGGGGGTGGTCAAGGGAGCTGGATGTCATGATGCGCGAGCTCGTGGGAGGCAGAAGCACAGATGTACTGCGAAAGATGCAGAGGGCAGTGCTCTTGGGCACTCTGAATATTGCCCGGACTTTCAAGATGGCAGTTTGAGTTCCTGTTAGAAGGAGCACCTTAGACACAATGGAAAAGCTTTTTAGGATTAGTTAATGTACATTTATTTTTTACTCCATGGCTCACAGGTTACGGTTTTCGCCCTGTGCTGCCTGATTAGAATGTAGCATTCAGTTGATTTTTCTGCGATAATAACAATAATAATAATAAAATTAATAATAAAATGAACTTACAAAATATAGCAAATTACTCCAACTGCCCAACAATCTACAGCTTTTCCATAAGGCTTCTGTTTGAGTACTTCTGGGGCTAGAAAAAAAAGATAAATCCAACTAAATCCTAAAGCAAGTTTGCTTGCTCTTTAATGTCTTATTTCTCTTTAGATTAATAAACACACTTGTAACTCAGAAGCAATTTGAAAGGAATCCATCAAATCTATCAGTAAAACACTTCAAAAGCCTACCCCTATGCCTTAAAGGACACCCAGATCTAGACAACAGAGAGTATTAGTTTATAATCCTATTGCCTTAGCCAAGGTATAAGATTCAGTGCCATGCTTCTTGGCTTGAGAAGGGGAAAGAAATTAAAAATCAGTTGCTTTTAGGGTGAGGAATACAATGTCACTTAAGACTTCAAGGCTGTGCTCTAGGAAAAATTGAAGGGAACCCAGTGCTCTGAAACTGTGAAATCCGGGGTGCCCAGCATATGCTTTTAATGAAAAAACTGAGATTCCTGAGTCACCCAAGAGCAAAAGTAAGGTGCCAGGGGCCACTGGGCACTGCTAGACCACAGCCCTGGACTTGACAAAAGTAGAAGAGAATGAGAAAGAAATTTTCTGCTGTTCTCTCTGGTGAAGGCTCCTTTCTACATATACTGAAATAGCAGATTGGACAGATTAAAACCATGATGAATAGCAATATTTTTTTAATGACCATATAGTATTGTTTTGAACATAATGCACATACCAACATAACCTGGGGTTCCACAGGCAGTTGCCATCATGCTATCATCTTCTTCCGTCTTGGACAGGCCAAAATCACTGATCATTATTTTAGAGTTATCCTCTGGACTGTAGGATAAACAAAACAATCCCTATGACCTTGCATGTTGTTCTGTCATGTGTTGCATTGCTCCTGCACCCATCAGACCTGCCAGTAATTCTTGGTTCTAGCGGTAGTAACATGTGCTCACACAGGGTTAGAGATATTCTTGTTTCAACTACAATTTATATATCTTATTAACCAAGTGCGAGGGCCGTACTGGGAGAATATTGGCCTGAGGTCTTGACAGTACGGACTGAGCGTAGCGAGGTCCGTACAAAAAAGACCGAGGGCCGATATTCTTCCAGTAAGGTCCCGTGCAAACTTGGTTAATAAGAGATTTATTATACGACTGAAGTTCAAAGGGACACAAGTGCGGTATCATTCGGGACCATTCGGGACAGTGCCCGGTCCAATACTTAGAGAATATTGGACCGGCAGTAGAGCATTTTGATTGGTTGATTTTAGTTATTGGCTCTCTGACTGCCCGAGTCGTGTAATAAATCCCTTGATTGAACTGCTGAAGAAGGCCTTGTCTTCAAGGATTTACTATGGGAGCAGACTAATGGATCAGAACAGTCAAACAAGACCATCTATAACCCTGTGCCAGCACATGCATCACTGCTTGAACCAAGAATTCCTGACATGCTTGATGCATTTAGGAGTAACACAATGCATGACAGATCAAAATATGGCAACTGAAAATTTGGTGCCAATCATGAAGTTATATTTTAGTGAGCCAAAAAGGAAGTATGCAGTAAGCCTGTGATTGACATTACTGAAATAATAAAATTAGAAAAAATCCCCTGAATAGCTGCAATAATTTAGATGTATGCAGTTTAGGGTATTCAAGCTTACCTGAAGTAAAGAAGATTTTCAGGCTGCAATTGAAAAATAATATAATAATTTTAAAAAGAACAGAAGTCACTTGATAGAGAATGTTGATTAATGACCCCCACCCTCCAGAAAAAAATTATCAATCAATACCACTCCTTCTAACTTCTTTGTTATTTCATGTATTTATTTTCATTTATTTACTTGCATCTTCAGAATAATGAGCGAGATTGTCTATATTGGAATGTGGGTACTTTTGCAAACAATGATAAATTCTGGGTATCATGAATAAGTAAGTATAGTCTAAACAAATGAACACTACACCATCTTTATATGAGAAATGGTTCATGAACAGAATTCCTCCAAAAATAAGATAAACTTTAAGGTCTTCAAAGCTAGCAATTTGGCCAGAGTCCATAGCATGAAGCCCCTAGCAGTATTAACATTGCCACTTGGTTAGTTAAGAGAACATTCCACAAACAACAACCTTGTTTAAAAATTTTCATCATATATCTACTTGTGGTTCTTAATTTCCTTTCATGTCAAATTATAAAGAATTCAGTTACATTAAAAAATATCTCCTACCCAAAGGGTAGTCCATTGCATACATCGAATACAGGAAAAAAATTCGATTACGGTTTAAGCCTCACTTTTGGTTACAAAAAAAGCAATTCAATGAAAAATGAACCAAAAAAGAGAGTTAAATTAATTAAACAAAGTTACTATAAACTCATTTTGCTCTGATGAAGTGCTAACACTTGAAATGTCAACTTTTTAACTGTACGGTGACCAATTTATACTTTCAACTTAGTTGATAAAAACAAGTTACCTCCACAGTTTCTGTAGAAACTTACTCCCTTTATTACAATAAACTCAGCCGGAGGTTTCACTCTTTAATAAAACACACTACCACCCGCTGTTTAGTTCAATGACAGTAATGTATTTTGGGTAGTTTATTAAGCAGCATGATATTTTTGAGACATAATATGTTTAAGGTTCTAAAACTGCTGTGTCACATTGAACAAGTTTTGTAACTCTAGTTTTCTGAGCAGAAATGAAACTCTTATTCAAAACTGTTTCAGTGTAGGTATTGCAAATGATGTTGGTTAAGAAACAAAACAATTTGAGGAAAAGAAAAAAAAGCAAAAACAAAGAGAAACCACTGTGAAGATGGAGGGAATCTTCACAACGGTTGGGGAGTAAAATTTTGATACATTTATTTATTAAGTAAACAAAAATAAGAGAAATAGGGAGTATTTTTTAGGCTAACTCTCCCACTTTATCTGAAAGTCTCCTAAAAACAAAAAAAATCTCCAGCACTCGCACATGATTTGCTTAATCTCAAAAATTCAACTAAAATTTTTTCAACACTACAAAAAAAATTTGGATATATCAACAAAGTTGAAATGGTAAATTGGCCACCGTAATGATTACAAAAGCTGACGTTTCGAGCGTTAGCCCTTCGTCGGAACGAATGGCGAAGCGAATTCACTCCGACGAAGGGCTAACATTCGAAACGTGAGCTTTTGTAATCATTACGGTGGCCAATTTACCATTTCAACTTTGTTGATATATCCAAATTATTTGGTTACTCCCACTGACGCAGCCCCTAACAGTTCCTACAAAAAAAATGTGTCAAGATTTTATAATTCCAGAGGTAGTGACCCCTGTTGTGATCCTTGGTTAATTCTCCAACATAGCAATAAGTATATGTGGGTTGAATTATTATAGCTGTCATCTTATAAACTTGCTCTAAGGGTTCTTAACCATTCACAACCTAACGACAGTTAGTACATTCTCCATAATGTTTTCAATACATATTCTGACTAAGGGTGCTATCAAGGAGAATTTGTTTAACAATCAAGAGCTTTTAATTATTAGTTGGTGATCATTTCCTTTATTCTCAGAAGCTAAATGTGCGATTCAGGAGTGATGTTCAAAGGAGAAATTGGATGCTAGACACTCCTTGGAGTAAAAAGGGTTTAATACACTGTCCTGTATTTTACAGAAATAGCACACTCGAACTAAAAATAAATGTAGTTCCCAGTAGGAAAAACATTGTCTAGACATGCCACTGCTAAATCCCATTCATTGTTTACTTGTTTCATCATTTTATCTTGTTATACTAACCTTTAAATCTCTGTGCACAATCCCTTGACTATGTAAATAATCTACAGCTTCCAAAATCTGTTTTATAAGGTCACTTGCATCTTGTTCTGTATAGCTACCTTTCTCCACTATGCGGTCAAACAATTCTCCTCCTTGAACCCTGGCAAATAAATTAGCATGTACTTACAAATAAATTACAGGAAACTGTGTAATATGCTATGCAAACACATTTTAAAATCTCAGCGTCACTTTGAAAGGCCAGGTTTCTTTACCCTTTAATTCCCAAGACCTGATTGATACAGTAATTCTCCCCTCTTGCTGCTACACATTTCCTTGTAAGTTAGTTATAAGAATTTGGTATCAGGTCAAGGCAACAACTTCTGCCTGTTTGCTAAATAATGTATGGATAATGTATAGCCTGCCTCAATTAGCACTGCTATCTGCGGAGCCAGGGGAATAAGGATTTGTTGTCAAATAACAAATAAAATAAATTAAAAATAATATTACAGAGAGAAGTTACAAATCAATCATTTCTGGGAGTTCAGGGTTCAGGTGTATGGAAATTAAACAACAACAACAACAAAATCTTTTTCCATAAAAACTTGATTATCTCAATTTCTTCATTTCAAATAACGAAAAAAAAAAAAAAAAACTTCAGTTGTTGTGTAGGCCAACCATGAAATATATAGAAATGTACTGAATCATTTTCCACTGACGTAACAGCTACAAACACTAACACCTCCCACTCCCGCTTAGTCCTTCTCCCCCCTTCAACTGTTGACCTCCACATCCCACATTCCCCTTGTTATACAAAGGAATTTTTCAAAAGTCAGCTGCTGTTTGAATCTTTGATAAAACTCCTCCATATGAAAAATTAAAACAGTACTTTAAATCGACTGTGTTGTTAATAATACAGTTTCAAAGATAATTTTTATCTCAAATAATGTAAATCACACCATCAATCCTGAGGTAAACACAATTTCATATGTGCAACATTAAAGTCTGAAATTATTTTACGCCTGATTAAAAAATATTTATTGAATAGCACAGTTCTGGTCAGTTGTCGTCAAAGATAAGAAATTATAATTATTCATAATCAGGAGTATTCGCCCAATTACAATTTACTCGCAATCTGTTCAAACTAACGAGTTGTGTTTAACAGCTGGGGTGCGGTGAACCAATAACAGCTGGCTGAACTTGGATACCAGTGTAAATTTTTAACATCGTGAAAATATTGCAAAATATGAAAATTGGTTATAAGCAAAACACCAAATAGTTACGGATTTTTTCGGCGATGTGAGGAAAGAGAAAAACAATTAACTTTCCGCCTTGCCCTCTTTGCTTTTAGAGATCGTATCGCCACCCTTTTTATTCAAATCGCTAACTGATTAATGAGAACTGAGATAACTGAAGTGTATTTTACAACTCCACAGAGATCTTCATTTGCACACGCAATACAATTTGGTTCTTCTAAAGGAAAAGTCGAACCATTCCCGCCCAATTTCCTGTTGTCTTAAATTTCTTAAAGTAAAAAAAGTGCAAACATCTACGACATTTCCTCACTTAAGCGATCGCTCCACGAGATAAATCGAAATAACACCGATGGATTTATCATCGACTCGTAAAAAAGGTCTCACGTACGCATAATCTTTCTTTCAAGAAAGTGCTTGCGAAAATATTAGATTGAAGGCGAGACAGCCAAAGCTGTTGGATTTTAGTATTTTCGTTTGTTTACATTTGTCTTGAAGCTACAGTTCGAAGCTTTTCTTTCTTTCCAAGTTAAATTAACTATCTATTAGCGATGGTCCCCCGAGACTTACCTTTTACGATTTAAAACAATGGCAAACGAACTTAAACCAAAAGATGAATAGATTCTGGCAACCCTTTGAGGCGTTCAATTGATTCTGACATTGAAATCTTAATTTTAAAGCATGTATAAAACTTCGATATTTGATACGCGGACAGATCTAAAAGGTGTCAAGTAAAAAATATCCATTGCTGAAACGATAACACCTTTAAAACCCCATACTGTCAGATAACACGATTTTATTTTCCATCACGAGAAAATTGGCAACGACCGCGTAAATAAAGAAACTACCGTAATGATTTCATTAAGTCAACATAACACTTCTGTCATATCAAGAAGGAACCCATTTCTGTGCTCGAATGTTCCTTTCAAGTTCACATTGTAACTTTTCCTTACGTGTCACAAAAGACTGTTTTCGCCCTTTCCTTATTTTTGTTACACCATGCTGGTTAGATCCTTCACCGGCAGTGCTTTTTAACGCAAATAACAACTAGTTGTTCACTGAATTCTATGGCCTGGATTGCCCGATAAAATTGTAAATTTGAAGTGAAATGGTAACATTATGAGATAGATTTCTACAACTCTGCATGTTTATTGTGAATATACTTACAAATCCATCACTAGATAAAGATGTGTTTTGTTGTCGAATATTTCCCATAGTCTAATTATGTTTGGATGATTCACCCTGCAGACAAAATAAAATGGACGACATGAGTGATCTGACTGTGCAAAGAACAGCTAACAGAATAACAGACGGAAAAACAACACACCTTTCGATCGTGAAAACATATTTTTCTGGCTGATTGGCCAGGCGTTACGCGAAATCACGACACAAACAAGAATTGTTTGTCACTAATTGACTTACTTCTTCAATATGGCAATTTCGTTTTCTACTGCCTCTTCCTTGCCGGAAAGTTTCCTCTTGGTGATGCACTTTACAGCGTATAAGTTGCCGGTGGCCTTCTCCTCGGCCCTGACAACTTCGGAAAACGCGCCACTGTGAATTCGAATAAAGAAGTTTCGAAAAATGTTAATGAACTACATTCGGATATAATTAGAATTCACTGAAATTTGCTCACGAGAGTTGGAGGCAAATTATCTAAATACAAGCCGTGCTTCTTGCTAAAAACAGTGCTTAGAGCTTCGTCCATGTGTCAATTCATCTGTCATAAGGAAAGATAACTTGGGAGGCCACTTACGTCCCGAGCACGTCATGAAAAGTGTACTTCTTCGTGATCTTCTCATCGAACTTCTTTTTCCCGAACAGCGGCATTCTGGAACAGGGAAAATCAGTGCAGAATTTAGCGCAATTCATCTAAAGCATCCACAAGGATTGGAGGCCGTCCGCAAGAACGTACGGCATTTGCATCGCAATCTATACAAAACAAACACACCTCGGATCTTGGCGTATTTACCAATACTTATTATAAATCTTCGACTACGAACGGTCGCATACTTCTTTTGCATGAATGTGTTGTCAAGAACGCGAGATACTTTGCGGGGGAGGGGTAGGGTGAGGTGAGCGTAGTTTCGGGCACTAAAATGCAAATCAAGGTAAGTCACGAAGTGGTCACCCGCAATCAAAGAAGGATTTTTTTTTTTTATCCTTTTGCGTCTACCATTACCTTAACAAGCTGTCTTTGCTTCAAATACTGTTGGTGGAAATGCGAGGAAAAAGAACAACGGTTTTGGAATAAAAACCCAGGTCGGGAAATTAAATTAATAAAATCGACTTAATTGAACAAAATTAAACATTCCTGGCTGAATTGTTTTCTAATCCAACATATTTAGGGCGTCAATCAGCAATTATGATGCAAAGATAATAAAAAAACTGTATATTGCAAAAGATGTCTGCTTTCCACAATGAGTCAAACAGATTCGTCCTTTTTTATGCCCCACATTACAAGGAACCCTGGCATTTCAGATTTAGTTTTTGGTCAAATATTTGAGATCTCCTGGGTTCTGTGCATAAATATCATAAGAAGCCTTCTTACGTGGAATGAAATCTTTCCTTTCAGCCATAAAGAGAAAGTATACTGATCGAAACCATTCAAAGTCGTCGGTGTTGCAAATTTCTACAAGACAGACACCGCAAGCCATTTAATTGTGTAATGATGGGGAAGCCATATGTGAAATTCGTGTAAAACGGTCGAGCAAAAAAAATAAATCATAAAAAAACACATTTTTAGCGAAGACATTAGATTAAATATATTTAAAAAAGAAAGAAAAAGCCGAGATATCAATCGAACGTGATGCATTGGTTGTCTTAATTAGTCTAATTAAGGAGGTATTTATGCAACAACGTCATTCGGTTATAATTTATTTGTTTGTAGACAAAGCTTCGATCAGGCGATTACTATTTATATCACATTTTATAGTCGGCCACACAATTTTCAACATGAGGTGTTTTATTTTTGATTGTACTCGTTTATTTCATTTTGGTCGTTTGTTTGTCTGTTTGTTTCTTGGTTAGGTTGTTTGTTTTAGTCCTAAACAATCGCTCAACGGTTTGCTCTTTCCACAAGAGGGATCGAAACGCTCTTTCGAGAAATATAAGCGAAAGCCTCTTGCACACAATCCTTAATGTATTTTTTCTGCGTCTTTATATTTGCGTTCACAGTTTTCCTCCTAATCTGTGCATGTTTTAACCGGAGATAAAAAAAATTCAATCTTTTTCGCAGAATATTCCGTGAACGTAATTTTCAGGTTCACCAAGAGAAACAGCCTATCACAGATTTCTCCAGTAGTGCGCTGTTTATCAGTAGAATTGCATAATTAACACAAGAAATCTTCCCAAAATGGCATGTTGATCATCTAATGGCTTACAAGCACGACTTTTAGGCGAAAGACTGCGAGATTAAACCATCGAAAACTATTTGTTTATTGAAGTGGCGGCGAATTTACAATTTCACTTGCGCTGTCTGGCGTTTCTCGAACAGACATTACTTTTGTTTGGAAAGAAAAAACATGATCAGATACCACAGTGACACTTCTAGATGATTCTTACAGATAAGAGGACAGATTGGACTAAAGGTTAAACGCTACCGATTGCGACTATTTATGTATTATCTACGCGCTGCTGAAGAATGCAAACGTAGACACTCCGTTATTCGAGAAACGAGTATGTTCTTCAGAGTCTGTTCCTTGATCGGGTTTATCAGGAATCAGAGAATTAGGAGTTATGTCGACAGGTTTTCTTTGCACTTCCTCGTGTCAAGATTTGCTGTGCAGGAATTTCGCTCTAGGTATTTCTACAGAACATCATAAAACAGCTCATGCGAAATCATGAGTCCACTAGTAAAAAACGCGCGCGATCACGGACGAATCAATTTTAAAAACTTCCAGCTCATAACATTTTCGCGTGATGTCATTCTGCCAATTCGTCAGGTCAGTTTCAATTCGTGTGCTTTGTTTCGGAGAAAAATCATTTCTCAGGGAAGTGAATAATTTCAAAAGCATTTCTTTCACAGCACTACAGTGTTTGCGACGTTCGACATACTTTCAAAGGTGTTCCAACCAAAGCCAGAGTTTATGTCGACTCATGTTAAGAAAGAACATTTTAGAGTCTGATCAAGAACAATTACTATACTATTATTTTTGCGCTAAAACACCGAGCAGGCTTACAGCCGTCCCTTCACCTTGAAAAAAAAAAAAATTAAAAAAAGGGTACCCGACCCTACTCGTTTTTTGAAGGAAATGGGACGGCTGTAAACCAACTGGGAGACAACTTTCTTTTATAATTTTACGAAAATACTGATGATAGCGTTTAGAAACAAAGGAGTGTCTACTGCCCGCAGTGGAAGAGAAGGTTTCCTCTTCACATTTGCAACGATTGCACGCCTCGGCGCGGAAAACATGATGAAATCATTACCTACAGATTGCTCTGGTTCGTGTCTGGAGCAGGTTACAGCCTGCAGCAGGCTCCAAGCCTTGATAAGATAGAGGTACACTCTGATATGAAATACGATCAGAACGATTTGGAGAATTTTCTTGAAGGCGGAGAGGGATGTAGCAGTCTCCTTCGTACCTGTTCTTTGATTATTCACGCAATGCATTTCCCCCTCAGCCATCCATAAGCCTCTGGGTGGGCGGGCGGGGGTAGGATTGGGTGTTTCGTAACCTCCTCAAGAAGGAGAGGGCTGGTGGATAGTTGAACAAGTTACACCCCATTCCACCTCCTCCAGGCCTAAGCGGTCTGTAGAGTTTGCTGGCCAAGAAGGTGTTGGAGTTCGTTTCCCCTTCCCACTTCAATACTCTCGCCGCTTACGACGCAAATTTGCCAAATCGAAGACCTACTTCTCGCACGCAAAAAGAGGCCACGCGTAAGAGCACAAACACGCGAAGTGTTCGTCGCGCGTAACTTGGCGCATCGCGCGCACACAATATTGATGGCTTACACACCGGCAATTAACTCTAATCATTTCTTGCAAATTTCAAGCACAATTTTACGGTTGTTGACCTTTACAAGCCAAAACAGCATCAATATGAAACTTCATTCCAAGAAAAGAACTTAATGGCTCGTTTTGTCTTTCAAATAGTTTACATCAAATGTAAATAAAACTGACCGTATTATGCGCAACGCCTTCACCAGCTATCATAACGAAGCCCTAATTACCGATTTTGCGCAAAACCATAAGTAAGGCTGGCTAACTTAGTAATCCGCTACAAAGCTCATAATTTCACATATATGTGGCCGCCGGTTAATAATGCACAATACTTTACAAGTTCAAAATTTTGGTTTGTTTGACGGATCGCGCTTTTCACTTACACTTGTCAGAAAATTAATTGATCAAGATCTGTATGTATATATATATATATATATCTTTCATGTACTGTTTAACTGTGGTGAAAATCATTATAATTTTCTGTTAATCAAATAGTGCAGCGCCAGTTTGAGCAACCTGTTCGGGGAAGCCAAAGGAGTATTTGTGTTTACCTCATTCAAATATACCAGAAAACAAGTCGTTTGTGAATTCCCTGCCAAGCGAAAATTATAGCATGCAAAATATCTTGTAAAATTTGTCGATAATGTTTGCGCAGAAGTATTTTCACACCCAATCGAACCTTTCAAATGAACGCTCATTATACTTATTATACTTATTATCCAATATAGCAGCTTGTGTTGAGACTAAAATCCCTAAAGTTACTTTGTGTTTACAAAAGCTTTGCTGAAGGGCCTTGCGTAAACAGTATGCTAAAATTTCAAGATGGATCTCAAAATAGGGAAGACTTTGAATTTCTCACTTATTAGCCAGTACTTTCGTATTTATCCGTTAAATACACGAGTCTTTCATGTCACTGTGCTGGTTCACAAGGTAGAGTTTCTAAAAAATCAGGAAAAGCTTTGCAATACAAAGGGCTATTTAAACTTTGATAATAAACAGACTTGCATGCGGAACGATTTAATGAAATCTTCGCGACCTTTCCTCTGAATGTTTGGGAGTCTTTTACTCGAGTTTTTTTTTGTTATCACGAAAAACACTTGAGTCAGTCGTATATCTTATCTTCGACAAAAAAATTTTAACAGCAGTTGCAATATCTCACTCCGTTTAGTAAAACCAATATTTTAAATCTGCCTCCTCTAATCTCCGCATTCATCTTCGTTTTATGTTCAAACATCAATCGATAAATATAATTGTCTCCCAGAATTTACACAGATCCAAGAAACGTGTAAAAATTATTCGACTGGCAAGCAATGAAACTGAGCTTCTTGCATTAACGAACTTAGGCTGATGATTATCGCAGGATCTAGCGAATAAAAAGCAATTAGTGTTAAATGTATCTGGTATGCAGAAATGGTACTAACCGCTTTCGTCTACTCTTTTTGGCATCTATTTCTTCATCTTCTTCGCCGCACTGTGGTGAATCGATATCCGCCATCTGTGAACAAATGGGTCTGTTTATTCGCCGGCTCACTTCTCGTCAAAATATGCAAAGTGCCTTCGGAGGATAGGTTGTGACCGGTTGTGGGTTTCAGTGTTCTTAGGCGAAGGAGACAGTTTAGTCTTTTGAAGGTGACAAGTGATCGCTTTTGTGTTCATAACACTCAAACCTCATTGGATATGCATGGTGCATTAATTACAATCAACACAGTTCGTCCTATTTTGACAAGCTGCACGACACCTACCACCTGGCCGTGCGAATACTTATTTGGCCTTTTCTTTTCTTTCCTCCATTCGCAACGCGCTAAGATTGTCCCAGAATCCTTCTCCAATCTGTTTTTAGAGAAAATTCACTCGAAGTTATGAAGAAATATTATCTTGAAGCTCCTGTAGATCTTTATTTGTTTTATTTGTTCGGTGTCAGAGGAGCGGAAACTGCAATTTGTCAAGATCCTCTAAAAAGATTACTTTTAATTTCGCCAGCTTCATTAAACCATTAAAGGCGAGAAAGACGCTACATGTTTTTTTGTATCCTTCTATATTTACATTTTGAGCGGAATGGATATGAAAATTGAGCACGAAGTTCGTATCTTCTGTTCGTTCCAAGAGTCAACTGCCCTAAACCCATTTGGGAATCGCATCTTCGCTCATGATACTGCTCCTGCCTTTAAAAGACACTGCCACTGCCATTATCAATTAAATTCATTAGGAATACAATAAGTTCATTAGAATTTATTAAATAAATTAATTTATTAATTAATAAATTAATAAGTAAATAAATAAATAATAAGTAAATAATTAATAAATTAATATATTAATTTCATTAGGAATTATTTCATTATGAATACAATAAATTAATATATTAATTTATTAATAAATTCATTAGAAAAGCATGTTTTTACTCATGATAAAGATAAAATAATTTTCTTTCTTGTTATGATCTATTGCATGACAGTGGACTATTGAGAACAACTTATTAACCAGGCCTTACGAGTGAACAATGTTTTGGTTGTGGCAATATTGTTAGCTCAGTAAGTAGAGCACTGCACCGGTATCGCAGAGGTCATGGGTTCAAATCCCATACAGGCTTGAGTTCTTTTCAGGCCTTATTTTCAGTACTGCTCAAGTGGTGCTCATTACTACGAAGTTCGCTTCTATATTTAACGACTTTTTGTTTGGCTTCTAATGGTTCAAACAGAAAGCCAACCTCGATTCTAGGTTGAAAGATAACCAATTAGTATAGAAAAGGGGAGTGACACGTTTTTTGACATCGCAGACAAGCGACCAGGTTGCTAAGCAAGATCCGAAATGGCAGCGTCTGATGCAAAGTGAAACAACTAACAACTAAAACCATTTTTACATTCAATGCCGCGTCTCTTACTTAACTCTTTACACCCTGATATCAGTATGCATATTCTCTATACTGGCAAGGAGAATTTGTTTAACAATGAAGAGCTTCTTCAGTTGGTGATTATTTCCTTTATTCTCCTGACCTTACTGTGTGATTCAGGGGTGATATTGTAAGGAGAAATGACATGCTGGTCACTCTTAGGGGGTTAAAGGGTTAATGATCTAAGGTTATAAGTCAACGCTAAAATTCAGGTGACTTTTTTTTTCGTCCTATTTAAACACGAAGGCGCGCTATAAAAGGAGCCTTAGGTCCCACTGGACCATTTGTCAATCAACCGTCGTGTGATGTGGAACTCTTAGAGTCAAGTCAGCTTGAGCTACAGCTACTCCAAAGCAGTAAACTGCGAGCGCATTCCTCAAAATTGTTTTATGTCTTCATCACAATACAAGAATTTTTGAGATTTGTATTTCCTTTCTCCAATGGAAACTGTCTTTATTTGTGGCGGTAAATTGAGATCGAAGTCGGTGGTTCGCACGTTAC